TTAATAGAAATGAGATTTGATCTTTCGGAAATTGTTTTGCTTTTTATTCCAATACTTTGAGATCCGACGATTTTAACATGTGTTTTTTAAGTTTATTTGATTTATAATGTATAAACCGAAATACAATTATTGAGATGTTTTTTATTGAGCTTTTTTATTTCATATAAAATATAATGAATTCATTATATACTAAATAATTCTGATTTTTATTTTTGCAGGTGTGAGCAACACAAGGTATGTCGACTCCTCTGTCCACTCGTTTTAATAATTTCGAATATTAATTTGTTATCTCTGATTTAAATTAATGATAGCTTTTACGATTACCATTATGAAATCTATGGTGTGAACATAACCATTAATTTGTTTATTCATTAGCATTACCAAAGTTATAAATTAGAAAATAAAAGATTAAACAAAACCTTAATTTCCAACAAGTTGTTTGTATTTGCTAGAGCTTGCTATTTTCTTTTGTTTGATTGAATCTTACACCCTTCTAAAAAATATAATAGACTTATTATTGTTGGTATTTTTATTTAATTTAATAACAATATTCAAACTTTAATAAAGTATTATGAAGTTTTAATGAAAATAATCAAAGGTCTATCTCTCTCTCTCTCTCTCTCTCTCTCTCTCTCTCTCTCTATATATATATATATATATATATATATATATATATATATATATATATATATATCGCCTCAAAGATTTTGAATCATAGACCTAATTTGTGAAATTCTACAAATTTGGAAAAATAAAATAGGTTTATAAATTGCATATAATTTCATCAAAAGTATTTTTGATGGTATAAAAACATAAATTAAAAGGTTGAATTGTTTTACAAATTTAAAAGGTTGGCTTATATCAAAGTATCTCTTTTCTATTAGTCTAAGGTGGTAATAGCGCTTTGAATTATAAATATAATAAATAATAATGAATATAAATACATAAATGATTATATACATAACTTTATGTAAATAGCATATTAGATCCTTCTATTGATTGATTCTCCTAGAATATTTGTTATTAACTTTATTATGCATTTATGATATATATATATATATATATATATATATATATATATATATATATATATATATATGGGGAAAGTGAATATACCCTCAAAGGTATATAAGCTTAGGTATCTAACTCACCATACTACGTCGTTTTGTATCATATATACATTGTAATTGTCCAATATTTTTATAATTTAACTTCTAACTTGATTTACTTTCAAAAGTTTTATAAATTTCACATTTATCTTCATCTTATATAATTTTTATTTTCAACTATAATATATATAGCCTAGTGGTTTTGGGTACCTAAGCTTATATACCCGTAAAGGTATATTCACTTTTCCCATATATAGAAAAGTGAATATACCCTAAAGTGTATATAAGTTTAAGTATCCAAACTCACCATACGATGTCGTTTCGTATCATATATGCATTGTAATCTTCCAAAGTTCTTAAAATTCAACTTCTAAATTGATTTACTTCCAATTTTTTTTAGAAATTTCATCATTATCTTTCTCTTACATATTTTCATTTACATCAATAATATATAAACATGATAGGTGTTCGACAGAGAGATGTGATGTGAAAGGAAGATACTAGTGAAATTTCGAAAATCTTGAAAGTAAATCAAGTTAAAGGTTAAAATTGAAGAACATTGTGACGCATGTATGATACAAAACGACGTAGTATAGTGGGTTCGAGTACCTAAATTTATATATTTTCAAGGGTATATTCACTTTTCATATATATATATATATATATATATATATATATATATATATATATATATATATTAACTAAACCATATCTTAAGAATAAATCAACTAACTTATGATCTATCTAATAAGAAACTCACATTTTTATATGGGGAGTTTAGGGTTAAAAAAGGCATAGGATTCCGGTTAGAAATTGGTCAAAAGATGTATGATTTATTTTGGTGTGTTAACATATGATTTAAAGGAAGAACCATCTCCTATATTTTCGGTAAATCGCAGTGAACGATGAATTGTTCTGTATATTATCTAATTCAAGATTTTTTAACATCATATTAGAATAAATATTCGTGAGATTACACCAAATCAATCTAAAATGGTTTTTTATTTATTTATAGCATAGTGAAGATAAACAAAATATATTCATGTGTTTGTTTCATGTAAAAAATGTCATTCACAATATATAATTTTGAAGTCTGAAAAATTATAAGTAAGTTTGATTTGATAAAATAAACAAATATTAAAAAAAAACTGCGATCAACAAAACAAGAGTTATCCAAAAAATGATTTTCAGCAAAAGGTTAAGTGTTCAAATAATTGGAGACGTTCGTTTTAAATTAAATAATATAAAGTTAGTATTGAAAATCTATATAATCTAAAAGATTAGGATATTTTTTATATATAAAGTGATGTAACAATTGAAAAACTTAAAATAACAAAGAATAATATTATATATAGAAAGTTTGAAACCGTCTCTTTTAAATATCGAACTATTCAAAATCAAGCCCAATTTTTTTTTTTTTTTTTTTTTCGTTTAGAGGGTGAGGAGGGTCCATGAAATGGGTATGAAATAAGGAAGGAAGAGAAAACTCGTGATAAAGCCTTGGACGCGGAAAGAGGGGGTGGGGTGAGTGGGGGCCACAAGAGTTTTTGTTGCGTATGAAATGACGTCATCACATGGGAGGATATGACAATTGACAGCTAGTGCTCCTGGTTTTGTTTGGGTGAATTGCACTCCATCACACGGCATCATCCGCACATTGTGTTGTTGCCTTTCACTCTTTGACTTTGACTTTTCTCTATTGCTTCGTAACGGAAAACCATTATGATCATGATAAGTGTAAAAAAGAAGGAATCATATTATAATACTTTGTTAATCATCTATAGAATAATTTTAATATTTTTAATTTTTAATTTTATATAAAGGATAACTATCTAAGATGAAACTTGTCACTTTTCACATTCTTAGTTATTTAGTTAAATAGGGGAAAAAGATACTAAATTTGTTACAATGAAACAGTAAAGAGTATAGTTTACGTTTTACGGTTATTCAGAAAGTATTTATATAAATATTAAATTCCATTTAACTCTTTTAATTATTCATCAATAACTTTAAAATAATTCTTAAAAATTGATATGACATTAACCGGTTATTTCATATGACAAATATTGAAAATAACCAAACTATTTTCTAATAATTATAATCATTAAAATTGTTTAAAACGATGGAAAAAATATGTTTTTATTATTAAGATATTTGTATTATTTTAGTTCAAAATCTATAAAATTACATTTACTTTGAATATTTACTTCATTTTAACTACTAGAAAAATATTTTTAGGGTGGAGGGAGTTCATATTCTCCAACGTTTTTAACTCTATTGCCACTTAGAGTTCGTAACAAATTTTATTTTATTTTCTTTCACTTTCATCCCTCCCACATACATTATAAATAATTCATCTATCAAACTCACTCCAAATATAAAATGAATGAAACATATGGAACAAGTTAGAGAGAAAAAGAAAAAAGAGAGGGTTCAACCAAATGGGTATAGGTCCTAACCTGTTGAACTAGTAAACTCATCATGCTTGGAGGAGTGGTACCACCTACGCGAGTCCCAATCCGATGTCCATCTAAAATAATCTCGTCTACTCTTAGGATTTTTTTTTTATTTTTTTTTTATATATTTTTTTATATTTTTTATAAACCATTATATAACTTTTTTTATCATATAAAAATCACTACGATTTGAACTTTGTTTGATTTAACCACAATGAAAACCCTCTTATAATTTTACATGTAAAAGTTTAAAAATTAAAATAATAAAGATAAATATTATTTGTATGGTCTTTTGTAATTTATTTCACCGAAAAACTTTGTAATAGTTTTTCTTTTAAAAAAAATCTCAACTGCTTTAAAAAATATTTTTTTTTTCGTTAAAAAAATCAATCGTTTTTATAGAATTTACTAATTTAGCTACTATTCTATAATAAAAAGGTAGCATATAGAAACATAATAATTAAATCTATATGAAGAACATTAATGACAAATATCTTGTAGGCTTATACAAGCCTATAACATAAAATTATTTATTGTCTTTATTAAATATTATGATATCCTCTTCTACGTATCAAAATATTTTATTTAATTTGATGATTTATTAGTATGTCGCTTGTCTATTTCCTAATATTAATAGTTAAAATAGTTTTAAATAATTACTTAAGTTTCCATACTTATATTAGGAAAAATATAATAAAAATATAGCTAAGTTAATTAATTTTCTAGCATAGTTATAATTTTGCAAATTCAAATAACTAAACTACGTGCATAATAGTATAAATAAATTGATTGTGATTATAAAGTTTTACCGTCAAATATGAGTAGGTTTTGCTTTTGTAAGACATCAAATTACTAAATATATTTATTATTGTACTTTAATAACTAATTTAAAAGAACGTTTGTTATTATTATCATTATTACTAGAAGAATAATTCTTAAATATAGAAATTAAGTAGGCAAGTAATTATCTTTTTCTTTGTTTAGGTGCTATTATAAATGATATCATAGCAAACCTATGCAATTTATCCTTTTAAAGTTTGGATATACTCCATATAGAATATTTGTTTCATTCAAGATTTGTGATTCTTCAAGGCTTCCTCACCATACACCCATAATTACACATTGCAACCCTTCACTTGTAAATCGTTCAAATAAAGTTTTTTTTTTCTTTTTTTTTTTTACTTTAAATATTTATTTTTCATCCTGTAAAACCCATCAGCTATCCATTTTTAGGAAGATAATGTAATTAAGATAAAAATAACGTATATCTTGATAACTATAAAGTTATGGAATGTTAATAAGAGGTGTATGGAAATAGTAACAACTAAAGGGACTAAAATGTATAGGGATGTTTTTAGAAGGGTGAATTTTGAAATTATGAATTAAAGATTTCAGATAAAAAGAGATACCTAGGAAAAAAACAGTTGGATTTAATCATAAATACGAGTTCGAATTGGTGAGAGAGACGTGAACAAACAGGGCCAAAAGGTTTTTCTTTTTCCCCGCCAGCTGTTCCGTTTCAGCAACTGTGTGTGTGTGTGTGAAATTATAGAGAGAGAATCTAGAGAGAGAGAGAGGGAGATCTCCCGCCCCATTCTCCTCCTCCCCTTGACCTCTCTACTCTTTCGAATAATTCGGCATTCTCATAAACCCCAAACTAGTCTATAATCTCAACGTCCGTTTTGTCTCAGTGCCGTCGAAGCACTCGATCTGGTAGATTCTGATTCGGTTTATGTTCGATCTGATTTTCCGCATCTGGATCACATCGAATCCGAATCCGAATCTATTACCGGTAAGTACAATTCGGATCCTCTGATTTATGAATTGTTTTTTGTAGTTTTGGGATTTGATATTTATGAATTGTAGTTGTGATCAGAATTGCGGTGCTCGTGATGTTTGATTTTGTGTTATTTGAATTTGTAGGATTTGCGATCGTTTGACAATGACGGCTGGTACTGAGGTAGTTTGTAACGATGTCGTTCGGAAGGTTGAAATTGAGGAGAAGTGTATAGCTGGCTTGCATACGAGTGATCTGAACGAAGTCGGTGATGCTGCTACTGTTGACGGTAATGTCGGTGGCAATGGGAACAGCAATGTCGGTGGGCATGGGAAGGACGATACTGATGATTCTTCCTATGTATTTGTCAACGGTAGTATTGAGGCGGTTGCTGGTGATCCTGCTGATAAGGGGGGTAATAATGTAGATGCTATCTCTCCTAAATCTGATTCGGCTGATGAAGTTGACCAATTTCAGAAAAAAAAATTAGGTTTAGAAAACGGGGAAATACCTGTTGATCCGTTGGTGTTGGAAACTAATGGCATCGTTAATAGGTCTGCAACAGTAGGGGATCCTGATGTTAAAGCTGATAAAGATGAAGTGAATCTTGAGAATGGATCCACTATTGATCCTCTTGTGCCGCTGGAGAGTAATGGCATTGCTCAGGATGTTAATGGACATCTTGGCAAGAACACAGGGGAAGAAGATCAAGTTGTTAAGAGCACTGAAATGTATGATGCTAATGGGATCACAAATGTTGAAGCCCAAACGGATGATATTGTTTCTGGAATTACTGTTGATCCTGAGTCCACTCTAAACCCAATAGAGAGTTCCCAAGTGACAGTCATTGAGTCAGAGTCAATGAAGGACTCGGAATCTCAAGTGACAACCACTCAGTCTGTGTCCACGCCTGATCTAATCAACATAACAGATGAGTCATTCTGTACTGCCAATCCAGTTAGGAACACAGACTGTGAAGTGGTGGTTAATGATGGGCAGGAGTTTGTTAGCAATCTGATGGATACAGCAGAAGGTCAAGTAACAATTGATGTGTCTAGTAAGCCATCTGAAGATTTGGAATGCCAAGTAACAGCTGATCTATCAGAATCTTATGAAAGTCCACCCCAGGAACTAGAAGGTCAAGTAACAGTTGATGGGCCTGGTAAGCTAGCTGAAGATTTGGAATTTCAAGTAACAGCTGATGAGTCAGAATCTTCTAAAAGTCCACCCCAGGAACTAGAAGGTCAAGTAATAGTTGATGGGCCTGGTAAGCCGTCTGAAGATTTGGTATGTCAAGTTATAGCTGATGAGCCAGAATCGGAAAGTCCAATCAATGAACAAGAATGTCAAGTTCCAGTCAACGGGTTAGACTCCATTGACAGTTCAGTTGACAATCAAGAATCTCCAGTATCAGTTGATGTGTCAGAATCTAATGGTAATCTTACTGAGGAAGTAGATACCACTACAAAAGTTGAGTCCGATGGAAAGTCAGAAGAGCATCAGGACTTGTCAATTGTTGACTCAGAGGTCAATGTAGAAGCTGAACCAGATATTGTCTGCAATGGGATAGAAGCTGAGCAACAGAGTGAGTTGGTGTCAGCTCCCTGCGTATCTGAGACCAATAAAGCTGAAGAGACAGTGATTGAGTCAGAAGCAGAACCCAAAGAGAATCCAGACTCAGGACTTGTGTTATCTGAGGGTGCAGATAGTCTAACCAATGGACAAGTTGAGAAGTCAGATGGGATTCTGGAGATGGAAGAAACTCAGATTTCTCAAACAGTGGCTGATGACGATGTACCTTTAAAGCTTGATGCCGAGGAGAAAAAATCAGAAGAGACACTTGAGAAACAAGTGGAGGGAAGCTCAGAAACACCAGTCAAAGCTACAGAACCTGTTGAGTTGGAGACAAACATTCAAGAGATGAAGGAACATGTCAAGTTAGAAGATGAGATTCAGGAATCACAAACAGAGGTTATAGACAATGTTCAAGATGATATGAATCAGGAGGATAACACAGCAGAATCCACCATTGAGGCTGAAGCACCATTGGAGACAGAAACTAGCATTGAGCCCATCACTCATGAGGATACAGTTTCACAAATTGAAGTCAACAATTGTGTTGATGAAACTCAAGAAGGCTTCCAACCAGATGAAAGTGCTGAAAATGTTAAAATCTTGCCTTCCACTGATTCTATGGAATCACAATGCAATAGTGGTGAGTTGCTTGTTGAGAGGGACAGTGCTTTGCTTTCTAATCCTGTTGAGTTGACAGTAGTAGAAACGAAGCTTGATGTTGCAGCAGCTCATTTGGTTACAGAGAATGGATCTGTGATTGAAAATGCTGATGTCCCTGATGATAATGAAGAAAAAGAAAAAAAAGTTGAGGACACTCCTGTTGCAGATGATTCCACATCAAGAATCCCTGAAGCATATGTGAACTCTGGAGCTGTGATTGAATTTGGCTCAATTGGGCGTCATGAAACAGTTCCTAATATGCCTAATGGTGATATCATTGCTGTGCCAGATGTCATAAATGGGGAGACCAAACCTGCTTCTGGTATTGATAGTGACAATTCAGAACAAAATGTTGATGACAAAATGTCTTGTCCAGAAACCGAAGACATGAATGGCATTCAAAAGGATGAGATTCCTACATCTTCTGTAGAGGATTATGTAAGTGATGCTCCTGATGCACAGAATGAAGAGGAAGAAGAAGCTGAGGTTCTACCATATAATTTCTTAATTAGGATTCCAAGATTTGAGGATGAAATGTTTAAAGATCAGATTAGAAGTGCTCAGTTGCAAGTTGATGAGAAGACACGCCTCCGAGATGCAATCCGAGTTGACATTCAAAGCAAACGTGTAAGAAATCTTGAAACATTAATTTCATAATAAAATTCATAATTTTCATTTCATTGATTCATTCTATTTTCACAGGCAAGGTTGAGAGCCATTAATGAGGCATTTAATACAGCAAAACAAGAGGAAACAGCTGCAAGACGGTTAGTTAGATTAAAGCGACAGGAAATAGACTCTGTTCAGGCTGTCATCAACCGCTTGAAGAATGCAGAGTCTGTTGGAGATATTAATCACAGGGTATGTTTCACTCCTCCCTCTTCCAAATCCAAACATTGATGAAATCTGTTAAGTTCTGATGAATGTATGTTCTTGAATCAGATATACAATATGGAGCACATGATACAACATGAAACATTGTCTTTAAAAGATGAGAAAAACCTCATTCGTGAGATTAAACAGCTTAGGACTCTTAGAGAACAACTAGCCTTGAATATGGGGAGCCAAGATGAAATTCAACAGGCTATGGATCAAAAAGATCAAACTGAGGAACATATGAGGGTATGCGTGTATCATATCATTCAACATTTATCATGTCCTCAATCCCTGATTTTTTTTTAAAAAAAAATTATTTATTTGCAGACTTTAAGGAAGGAACTGGACGCTTTAAAAGTAAAGCTAACAAAAGCTGAAGCAGCTACTGCAGCAGTGGGAACGAAGTATGATGAGCTAAGCACAAAGGAAAGAGAACTGCAAGATCAGTTCAGAGCTGCGGATGATGTTCGTCAAAAAGCATATGCTCATTTAAATAGTTTGAAGAAACAATCATATGACAAGGTTTGTTGAATTTTTGCATCTTACTGATCTGTAGTGAACATAAATAAATAAGCTGTTAAGGCACATCTTTGTATGTCAATTAGCTTTGTAATAGTTGTGAAATGACATCTTAATATGGTAAATAGGTAGTGTATAAACGCACGTAACTAGATTGTTGTACCTTGTGATTAGTAAAACATGTTATCATGTGTATTTACGACCGCACGATTGATCTAGAGATTAATATGCATAAACTTTCTTAATCACCTGTCTAATCCACAAATAAAGAAATAGATAAAATCACCAAATTAAGAAACCATCATGTGATATTAGAGTATAGAGACATATGTGTATCCTACCATTCTTCTCTATAACCGACCGCATGCTAAATTCTCCCTTATTTCAACGGAAATAAATTAGCAAGTTAGGATTTGACTCATCTGAGTCAACTCATTAGAAGACCCTAGAACTTATTATGCTCGAACACGTGTCGTAGACAGAAGAATAAGATTTCTTTTGCTAGTAGAGTTGTTGATGATTTCATATGCCGAATTTAGGGTGCATACTAGATGGATGATATATTGTTTTTTTGCTTGAGGTATTTTTAGCTATATCTAATCTGGCTGTTACATTTGCATCGACTTGTATTAAGGATTTTGAGAAGTATATTTACTTATTTGCCCCTATTATTTCATATCTATGAACAACAAAACATGTGATAGCTTTTCTCTTTGTGGATACTTGTTTGATACGGATCAATATTACCTTTTCAAGTATTCAACTAAAGTAATGTTAATGGTTTTTCGTGAATTTACACTTAGACATGAAAATTTTGATCATATTTATGCATTTAGTTATCTAACATGGACCCTAAGGAAACATCAACCACCTGTGACGAAATATGAATCTGCATTATTGTGAAAATAATAAATTTTTATGCAGAACAAAAACTTCCGCCTGTACAAGGAAGACGTAATGGCAGCAAGAGATTTCGCATCACGTGGAGATAAAGACTCACTTCATCGTTTGTGCGCGAATCAGGTTGTTTAAGCAATCTATTTCATTTATTGTATCCGTTACAAAGGGGTACATACGTCATTTCATTCTGTGAAATCAATTAACACGTGGTTCTGATTCACTGTAGGTGGAGGCATTTATGGAACAATGGAACAACAATGATGAGTTCAGAAATGATTACGTCAACAGGTGCAATATGAATGCAACCAGAAGACAGAAATATTTTGATGGAAACTCACTCAGTCCTGATGACGTGTCACACGTCCTCCCGCCCAATGAAACAGTCAACAGGAATCTGGTTTCCATTCCGACGGACGCGAAGCCGGTGTCAGTTATTCCAACCGTGAAACAAGAAACCGCGGTTTCACTTTCCTATTCCGAAGATAGTAAACCCATCGAGCAAGTAACGGTGGAAAAGAATCAGACATTGAAAACCAAAGATGTTAAAAAGGAAAGTGAAAGTGACATGTCAGCAGCTGACATTAATAAAAAGGAGGAAGCGAGAAAAGAGGAAATGGAATTGGCTAGAAAAGCTGAGGAATTGAGGAAACAAGAGATTGAAGCTAAACTGAAAGAGCAACGAAGGTTGGAGGAAAAAGCTAAAGCAACGGAAGCATTAGAAAGGAAGAAACGTATCGCTGAAAAGGCCCAACTCAGGGCCGAGTTGCGGGCCCGCAAGGAAGCCGAGCAAAAAGAAAAGGTATATATATTTAAATAAATAATAAAATGATTTTCATAAAACTTTAATTTGATAATTAATGGTTGTGTAGGAGAGGGAGAAGCGGATGAGAAAGAAGGAAAAGAAGAAGGCGGGTGGAGATGGGAGTGTGAATGGAGAAGAAGCTGCAAGTTCAGAAAGCTCAAACGAGGCTACAACTAAAGAAGACATCAACAACAACAGTAACAATAACAATAACAGTGTGATGAAAAAGAAAAAACCGCCAGCTCATTTCTTTTCAAAGCAGCTGAAACCAAAACCGGTCCCACCGCCAGCTTCAATCAGAAACAGGAAGAGGTGGCATCAGTGGGTGAAACTCGCAATGGCTGCTATTGGTGTCCTTGCTCTGTTTCTTTTGGGTAACACCGGCTTCTTTATTAATCTTAAGGTCCACAAGACCGATGGCAGTGCTGGCATCTGAATGAAAGAGATATAGAGAAAGCGTTTTTTTTTTTTTTTTTTTTTTTTTGGTTTCTTGGATTGCCCTTTTTTTTTTTTTTTTTTTTAAATATATATATAAATGATCGATAGAGATATGGATTAAGAGATTTAATAAGGTTGGGGGTTTGTTTAAAGTAGTTATGAGTAAAGTTATAGACTTGAGAGAGTATATGTAATATGGATATGGAAAAAGTTGGAAAATATAATAGGGGACAATGGACTTCCTTTTCGTAAGTGGAATTACTTTAAAGATATTAATAAGCTTGTTTGCCTATCTACCTTACTGGTGATTTCATATTTTGATTTGGTTTGCATTTTTTATTTTATTTTATTTGTGAATTCAATGTTTCTTGATTTTAACAGGGTAGGCATATGAAGGTAGGTACCTGAATGTCAGCTTGGTTTATGACTTATGACTGATGGGATCTACTAATTTCAACTTGGACCCGACCTTGGCCCACAAATGACTGAAAAATAATACATTGTGATCCAAACCCCAATGCAATTTCACCATTTTGGTGAAGTACAACTGTCATACTTTAGTCTTGGCCTAAGGGATGAAATGTGCCATCTTCCAAAAAGCTTCTATAATACATCATAACCAAATATTTATGTCCTTGAGCTTAGGAAATGGTAGAACAAAATCCAAACTTATATCTTCCTACAGGTGTTCAAGAACATGAAAGGGCGTGTATATGGTAAAGTATTGCATGGCCAATCTCTAAACCAAGTATATGATATGAGGATGTAGTCATGTCTAATAAGAAGTCCATTACGCTTCGTATAAAGCCATTGGCCTTGATTTGGAGTTGCATATTTTTTTAACCTTAGTTATATTTGTTCCTTATTATTTAATTATTAAATATGAAATTTAAATTCAATAGGGTATTTCAGCTTAGCTCAAATAAAAAGGCTGGAGGCAGTTTTAAAAACTTTTGTGTAATAGACTAATAGGTACACGCGGTTAATAAAATTAAGTTTCCATTATTTAATAAATTCCCTTAGTATTGAAATTATAGTGGAATTAGAGGATTTTTCACCCAAGTCCAAGTATAGTGACTAAAGGTGACAATCACACAATTTCTCATAATTAGGATAGAAAGAGTCGATAGAAATATACAATGTTGTGTTCTCCTCACGATTTCAAGAGAGGATTATGGAGAGAAATAGATTAGAGCTAATGTTTGGAGTTCTTGAGTCGAAGAAACCATAGCCTAGGAACACCAATCAAGTAAGTAAACCCCAGATTTTATGGTTATGATTAGGGTTTATGATCAAGAGTTCAAACCATTGATTAAGATAATAGATTGATGATCTTCGACTTTGGATCTTACTTAATATAATTTCGGCAAGGTATGCAATTTGATGGTTGATTGTGGAATGTTGTAATTAAACTTATTTGAGTCTAGAAAGATTATGATTGTATTTTTAGAAGAAATTACATTGGTTCACCCTAAGGTGATTTTATGGTTCTTTCTAAGCTTACATCCCTAAAAACAAGATTATGTGTTCGTTTCTTGCATGTGACATGTACTCAATGTTAAACTCGTTTGTTTTGACGTTAACCAACACAAAACCCTAATTTACTAATAAGTTTACTTTGTATTGAATGTTATTAGTAATGATTATATTCATGATGATTCACAAATAAAAACTTCAATTATACATATGAAATGGAATTTGAATACACTTGTTTAAGGGACTTCATTGGATCAATGATCATGAAGAATTCCAACTCCGATCAATATTAATACAAGGGGTTGTAGAGGTTAAATACCGTCTCGTAAAACATGTCAAGCATTATACTACATGTCGTGAATGTTTAATGTGGAGAATCATTATGGGGTCAGATTTAGATTAATTTAACTAATCATCTCAAATGGTAATAGTAATATCAATGTTGTTAAGATTGAGATCTTATATATGACCGTTTTCTGCTTTGCAAGATCGTAATCGTAAGATTGAATCGGATTGTAAGATCGCACCAAAAACATTTTAAAACATAAAAAATACATATTTATCCATCAATTAACCATCCTGTTAACAATAAATACTTAAAAACATAAAAAAAATATTTTTAATATATTTATTTAATGATAAATTAAAAGGTGTATTCCATGTAGTTAGTCCAAAAATATATTTGATTTTAATATATATATATATATATATATATATATATATATATATATATATATATATATGATAGGTTATGAGCATTACATCATTCCTATGGTGTACATGCAACCCTAATTGCTTTGATCTAGGTTTTCTACTATGAACACAACAACATTGAATACCAAAGCATAAAACTTAGATCTAACATGCTATTATCAAAATTGACATAAGATTAGGGTTAGAAAGTTTACCTTGATTGTTATGTAGCAATAACAATCACAATCCTTCTTGATCTTGACTTCTGAAAGCTTAGTGTCTCAAATGTTGCACCTCTAATTCATCCTATCAGTTGCTATGGTGAAGGCAACCCAAAAGAACCATGCTCATAATCGGGTCAAGTACATACCAAAATAATTATGGGCTTAGACACCTAATCCAACAATATATATATTAATGATCCTACGATCTTACGATATTACCGTGATCCTACTGAAAAACGATTCAAGTAAGATCGGGGATCGATTTACGCAGGGGCGGTTTTAGGGTGTTCCCCGTGTGGCACTGACAACACTTGCTTTTCCTATCCGTAGTAGAAAATTTTTCGATTTTTTAAACCTATTTTTCATGTATCAGCAACACCTATTTCATCTCGGCAATACCTACTATATATTCCTACGTCCGCCCCTGGATTTAGGGATAATGTCATATTAGCCCATCAAACTTTTTGTGTTTTTTTTAAAAGGTCACTAAACTATTTTTTTTTTGCACATTAAAGGAATAAACTCTCATTTCTCTGTTTTAAAATACCCTTATGTTACCTTTTACCGGGTTGTAAGGTAATATACATGCCACGAAGGAAAATGTCGGTGCCAGGTCATTTAATGAAATGGCCACGTGTAGTACATTTATATTAATTTGTTTTAAATAAACCATTTGCATTATACAATCCCCTCCCCCTCATTGAAGAAACCCCTCCTCATTGAAGAAAACCCTCGTCCCACCATAGTAACTGAAGATCGATGGTTATATTCCTCTCAATCAAAGTTCATTTCCAAGGTGTGTTCATCAACCAACCGTTTTGCTATTCTGATGGTGTTCATCATGTGTTCAAGAACATCGATTTTGTTGGTATGTCATATAATGAGTTTGTGGGTTTTCTTGAACGATTCACACAAGAGAAGTGTGAGAAAATTTATTATTGTCAACCCAATTTACAAATCCCAGAAGGTTTAACCTTGATTTCTAATGAACTTCAATATCAAGAATTTATAGACATTGCTTATCGATGTGGAGTACAAGTTCCTTGTTTACATGGACCATTTTGGTACTACTGTGCACGTAATTAAGGCAAATGAAAATGAAAATGAGGATAATTAGTCAAACATGTCAATCGAATGGGAAGAAGGTATTGACCTAACTGACTTCATGAGTCCACAAAAGAGCAACATGGAAGGAGTAACCTATGAAGGAGTTAATCAGGCAAATGGAAATGAAGATGTCACAGAAGGTGATCCAAAATATGATGAAGATGAGAATATCCCAGATGTGAAAGGAAAACAAATGTTTAATGAAGACATATATTGGAAGAAGCAGATTCCAGTTCTAGGTATGAGGTTTACCAACCCTAAACAATTAAAATTCATGCTTTGTAATTATGCTGTAGCAAATGGGTATCAATTGTACTTTGAAAAAAATGACAGTAAAAGGTTATTGGTTAAGTGTAGTGATGGTCAATGCACATTTAGACTGTGGGCATCATGGATGAGTGAGGAGCACTCATTCCAAATCAAGTCCCTTATCATTGAGCATAATTGTGCAAGAAATTTTAAGTTAGGGTCAATTGTTAATTACAGATGGATTGGAATTCATTTCACCAGGGAAGTTCTTGAGAATCAGAAATTCAATGTTAGGATGTTAAAAGAGGAAGTAAAGACTAAATTTGGCATAGAGGTTAGTATGTGACAATGTAGGAGATCCAAGAAACATGCAATGTCTCTTGTTGAAGGTACCATAGTTGAAAATTATGCAAAGTTGTGGTCCTATGGTGAGGAGATAAAAAGGTATAATCCAGGGTCAACAGTCAATTTGTCTGTGAACTCTATGCCATATGGGAAAACTTACTTTATTATAATATATATGTTTTCATGCACTAAAGGAGGGTTGGAGAAGTGGCTGTAGAAGGATAATAAACTTAGATGGGTGTTTTCTAAAAGGAATGTGTATTGGTAAGTTATTATGTGTTGTTGGTAGGGATGGTAACAATCATATATACCTAATAGTTGTAGTTTGTGTTGAAAATAAAGACAACTGGAAATGGTTCTTAGAAAACTTGCAAGAAGATCTGCATCTTGAAGGTGGGTTTGGTAACACATTGATGTCAGATCAACATAAGGTATGTTTTTGTTCATAATGCCATGGATTATTTGATTCAAATGTGATCTACTTCTAAATGTTCTGATGATGTAAATGCAGGGAATAATTGAAGCAATGAAGGATTTATTTCTAGAAATAGAACATAGGCAATGTGCCAGACATGTTCTTTCCAACTTCAAGAAGAAATTCCCTGGGGCTCAATATGAGAAATTATTTTGGAAGGCTTGTAAGGCATCAACTGAACCTCTTTTCAATTCTGCAATGAAAGAGATTCAAATGATTAGCCCTGCTGCTTATGTGCATCTTATGGGAAGGAATCCAAACTCATGGTCAAGAGCATTTTTTCAAATAGGAAGGGGGTCTGATGCAGTTGAGAATGTGTTGTCTGAAAGCTTTAACATTGTTATCTTGGATGCTAGGAAGAAGCCAATTATTACAATGTTGGAGGATATTAGACTATATGTGATGCATAGGATGTGTAGTTTGAGGCAGAAAGGAAGTGGATGGGGACATTTAGATGTATGTCCAAACATAAGGCTTACCATAAATGAATTGAAGATCCAACAAAGGTACTTTATTATTATCTGAAACTCTTGTTCACCATAGTAGCTATTGCTAACCGTGTTTATTTGTAGGTACCGGCAAGTGCTTCCTAGTGGCCTGAATACCTTTGAAACAAGAAACTTAGGAGAGTCTTATGGTGTTGATTTGGAAAAGAAAACATGTACTTGTAGGATTTGGCAACTGAATGGGTATGGTTGTGTACACTCAGTGGCAACCATTTGTTATGTAAATAGAGATGTAGAGGAATTTGTTGATCCTTTATATCGTGCTTGCATATATATGAACACCTACAAGTACTCAATAGGAAGCATGAATGGGAGTGCAATATGGCCCCCAACAGACTACATACCACCTTTTCCACCATTGAAAAGGAAGATTCCAGGAAGACCCAATATTAAGAGAAAGAGGGACAATACTGAGGTTAGTGGATCACACAGAGTATCCAAGTCAGGAAAAAAGATTGTCTGTGGTGTTTGTAAAAAGGCAGGCCACAATAAGTCAACCTGTGATGCAGTGTCAAAGACCCAAAAAAGTAAGGTAAAAAAGAGGAAGGCTGAAGGTGAAGGTGAAACTAGTGCATTGAAGAAAGTGAAGGGTCAAGTGCAAAAGGGAAATGGTGTAAATAAGGGAAAGGGTGAAGATAAACGTGGAAGTGGAATTGGTTTCAAAACGGGACAAGGTGAATGTGGGTCAACAAGTGTTGTGAATAAGAAAAACGGTACAAAAGAAGGTACAGTGAAGTTAAGAAAAAAGTCAGGGAGGATAATAAAGAAAAAGTTGGCAAAAAAGGTTGAAGGCAAAAACGGTGAAGGTGATACTTCAACCAAACCAATGGATTTGGATTAAAGGTGTTTTGTTTATGGAGTATGTTAGTTACGGTTAGATGTCTTTATTTCATGTTTGTTATGGTCTTGTTAAGATTGTTAGCGTGTCTTTAAAACACCAACTTATGAAATTAAAGAATGCATGGATGTTTGTTTTTCGTTTGTAACATGAATGGTTGTTTTTTGGTTTAAAACATAACATGAATGTTAGTTTGTGATGTAACATGAATGTTTGTTTATGATTGTACTTCCAAGGTAATTCATATAGCAATGTACTTCCACATAACAATGTACTTTGACTACAACTGAGGTTATTGTGTTAGTTTGTGATTGTAACATGAATGTTTTTTTACGATTGTACTTCCAAGGTAATTCTACATAACAAAGTACTTTCATATAACAATGTACTTCCACATGAAAAAAATTAATATACACAGTTAACTTAACAAAGGGTACTTCGTCTACATTACTACATATTAGAATAACATCATATGCAGAACAATGGTTAACAAAGTACTTTCATATAACAATGTACTTCCACATAACAATGTACTTGGACTACAAATGAGGTTATTGTGTTACCAAAAACCCCCAAAAAGATGGTTCTAAAAACCCTAACATCTTCAACAAGCACCACTGATCAAAATAACCAACAACACATACCCTAATACATACATATTATACTAGCAGATGACGAACTTAGACAAAAAAACAAACAACCTTCGACAACCCAATAACCCAAAAAACGCTAATCGTCATCGTGCTATCTACGAACTAAACTACACCCCCAAAATCCCCACCTAACGACATCACTGCAACTCCAACTGCACCCATCACGATCACTATCCTTTTCAAGTAGCGTATTTCCTCCCTAAACTCTCCAAGTTGTTGTCGCAGTTAATCTCTCAGTTCCTCAATCTGCACTTGGGTTTCCATGGCGTGAAGCTCGTAATCAGTTGGTACCCGTCTAGGTCCGAAACTCTGAAACCACCATATGAAAAACTTTGTTCTGGGACCATCTTCTTGATTTATAAGTGGGAAAAAAGCGAACTCGGTGGTATTATGTGAAGGTTACGGATTAGGGTAACAAAGTGGGTGGGGAAGAGGGATTTAGGGTATCCCTTCAATTTATAAGGGGGACCATTAACGATGACTAGGCAATCTTGGGGACCAAGATTACAACAGTAATAATCCACGATGGAGGCCCATGTCACGAAAATATGGGTTATACCTTTTACAATCGGTAAAAGGATGTAATTAAACAGTCATATGAGAGTTTATTCCTTTAATGTGCAAAAAAATAGTTTAGTGACCTTTTAAAACAAACACAATAAGTTTGATGGGCTAATATGACATTTGCCCCTGGATTTACGTAGGTGAGATCGTAGGATTATACGATCCTACAATCAAAATTGTGATTTTAACATACACGGTTAATACTTCTAAGACTATTTTTTGAAATATTTAAGTGTAGTCAATTTTATAAAAAATGACACTTTTTTAAAATTGTTATGGACATTTTTATTTTCAACAAAAATATCAAATAATAAAGTTGTCCCTTATACATTGCTATGAATTTTGAAGAAGAAATCTCTATAGAAAGTATTGCTAAGACAACTTACATTACTTTTTAAAATTAGAAATTTTTATAAATAATTAGTTGTTTATAAAAGATGAGTCTAAATTCTTTAGATCTTTATTTTATGTTCTCATTGGTATTAAAAAGTTGAAAAAGAGCCATTTGGATGACAAAAATAATTTTGAAAAGTTAACATATTTGACCACTCACTCTATTAAAAGGCAACTGTCGCTATCAAATACGGTGTATAAAATACGTCGGGTAAATGTCTTATAAAAGTAATAAACATTATTTCGTGCATATATTTAATCACTTAGGCAAAAGATCAAATGAGAACTACTAAAAGTTAAGAACCGTAAGAACCTCATTTTATCTACACACACTACATACACTCTCACATGGTTATTTTCTCTCCCATCTCAAACTTGAAGAACACACAAACATTACCACCAGTTAGCCACCATCCACCACCTTTGACTGCCACCGCCTCCTACCGTCGACGAACCGCCGCTGCCTCCTACCGCCTACGAACCACCGCCATCAGATCCACAAGTTCCGGTTGGCTCCAGATCTACAATTTTCCTCTTCAGATCTACAATTTCAGCTTCAGATCTATGATTTCTCTCTTCATATCTACAATTTTCGTCTTTAGATCTACTATTTTCGACTTCAAATCTTCGATTTTCTCCTCCAGATTATGAGCTCCGACGAGCGGTGATAACCACCACCTTCCTCTATCGCTGTCGATCGCCACTTGGTCTCAGATCTGGAGTTAAGAAGTTGTTTCAACTTCATTTTCTCTTTAAAACACAAACATATCAGATCTAGTGCGATTTGGTTAGATCTGATAGTCGACCTTATCACCACCGACCACCGCCTAACATCAGCTATTGTGCTTCGTCGGAACACCAAAAAACGTCACACTCTGCTCCGAAGTCCAGATCTAGTTCGTCTCCAGATATTCGACATCCGGATATGATGGAATACAAGAAAACTTCTCCGATTTGCTTCGTCGGAACAATAGATCTCACAGAAATCACCGCCAACAGATCTGACATCCAGATCTGATGCTACCACCGTCAATGTGACTCCAGCTCTACCACAACCAACGTCGCACCACCGTTGTTGTTGCTTACCATTGGTACTCATGGATCTGAAGTAAGGGAACAATCTCAGATTTGGATATAAGATGCATTGAAGGTGTTTGATGAAATGCTTCACTAAAAACAAGGTATGTTTTTAAACATGGAATAGTATGAATAAGTTTATGAACCAGTTTCTTAAGTTGTATAAGCGTTTTTTTATAATTATTAAGTTGTTAATGTATGGATTTAATACATATCTGATTGTTTCAATTAGAAAAAAAATTAAGCTATGACTGCATGATTTTTTATAAGTTTTAAGATGTGAATGCATGATCTTTTGTATGTATTAATTTGTGAATGCATGATTTTTTTTCATAATTTTTAGTTGTGATTTAATGAATTTTTTTATAAGTTTTAAGCAGTATATGTATGAATTTTTATAAGTTTTAATATGAATTTAAACGTGTTTTTATTATATTAGTGTTTTCTCAAATAATGTGAATTTTGGTTTTTTAAGTTGTGAATTGTGATGAATGTGTGAACTGCTATCTAATACAACCTCCAAGCTCCAAACATCATCATATGTAATTTTTAACGTGTAACTATATTTTATTAAATTGTGAATTTGTGTATTAAATTGTGAATAAAATGTATTAACTTGTGAATTGAGTATATTAAGCTGTTAATTTCTTTTACGAATTTTATTTTTGCTTCTAAAATATAAGATGAAAGAAGCATTATATATAGATTTTATTTTCTCTAATTTTGAATAACATGTAAAATTTAAATTGTGAATATTATATAAATCTAAATTTAAAAGAAACACTGGCCCATATATCTGAAGGTATAAATATAAGTATTAAGTACAGAATATGGATGTGAATGTATAGTTTTTGTGTATTAAACTATGACTTTAATATATTAAGTTGTTAATTTTGTGTATTGACTGTATTAATTGTGAATTGATTGTATTAAATTGTGATTTTTTTTATGAATTTTATGTTAAAATATAAATATTTGTTTTAATTTTCTTGTGAGTATTTTTTTGTGAAGTAAATATGTAAGAATGCATTAGTTTCTATAATTGTTGCATTAAACTCTAAATTAGTGAATTAATATGTTTATTAAGCTGTGAATATAGTATTTAAGCTAACAATGCATGATTTTATATACATATTTGGTTTGAAAGGAATGATGGTTACGACACTGACATAGATGGTTGGTGCTGACATGTAGTAGTTGGTGGTGGTGATAGAGTTTGAGTTTGACTCTCCTAAATTAGTGATATTATGATTGTATTTAAATTGTGAATTTTGTGTACTAAACTATGAATCGACTGTATTAAATTTTGTATTTTGTATAATTTTTGTGTTAAAATATGAATCGATGTATGAATGAAAATATTAGACTGCAAAAATTACAATTTTGCCATTTTCGTACCAAAATACAAAAAAAAATCGGATTTTAACATGTTTAATAAGTAGTGTGTACATCTTTACGTATACAATGAATGAGGTTCTTACGGTTCTTAATCTTTTGTGGTTCTCATTTGAACCAATCTCTCTCTCTCTCTCTCTATATATATATATATATATATATATATATATATATATATATATAAGCTGTTAATTTTGTGTATTGACTGTATTAAGTTATATATATATATATATATATATATATATATATAGCTGTTAATTTTGTGTATTGACTGTATTAAGTTATATATATATATATATATATATATATATATATTATATTATATATAATATATATATATATTATATATATATTATATATATATATATATCTATATATATATATATATATATATGGAAAAGTTCAATAGAGAACCATTATTAATAAATGAATCAAGGAACCAATCCAAAACGTCGAAATTTAAAGCGATCAACAACAAAAGGAAGGGTTGTAAACTCTTACAATGGACGCACATGCACCAGATTATAACACAACCAACTTCTTTTTTTTAGTTTAATTTTTTTGGCAATGTTTTTTATCAAAATAAAAAAAAAAAAACCGAATATACCATTGTTTGTGATTTTTCATCATCTTTCCATAAAGATTCATATTGATATATAAAAAATGATTTTTTTTTTCAAAAAAACCACTTCATTTTTGTAACGCCCGTGTTTCTAGGTTAACCATTAATAATGATGTAATAGTCTAGGTCAACCTTTGTAATTTGTTTTGAAATAATAAATTGTATTATTTGAGTATTATGTTTTTTATGCTTAATTATTTTGATATAATGAATTAAGAATAAAAAAAAATAAGCGTCGAAAATAAATATTAGATAAACACAATATCTATGAAGGAAGTTGTAGTGGTCGTGACAAGGAT